GGCGCACTCGTCCTCCGCCTCCTCGCACTCCTCCGCGTCCTCCTCCTCCGGCTCCTCCTCGTCGGACGACGAGTTTGAAGACGACCTCTTGGACCTGAACCCCAGCCCCGGCTTTGAGAGCATGTCCCTGGGCAGCTTCAGCTCCTCCGTGCTCGACCGGGACCTGGATTTTAACTTCGAGCCCGGCTCGGGCTCGCACTTTGAGTTCCCGGACTACTGCACGCCGGAGGTAAGTGAGATGATCTCGGGCGACTGGCTGGAGTCGAGCATTTCCAACCTGGTCTTCACTTACTGAGGCAAGCGGCGGGCAGAGCCCGAGGAGGCACCGACGCGTTCTCGGGAGGACTCGCCGCCCCCGCCGGGCCCTTTCCGCCCCCCTCGGCCGCCTTGTAGAGGGGCCGCTGGGGGGGGAACCACATACACCTCTGGGTGCTTTGTTATTGCCCGTTTTACGCGAAAGAGGAGAGGAGGGGTGGTGCAGTTGTGCGGAGCGCACTGGGTATCTCGAGTGTCTCGAGCGTTTCCTGGGAAAGCGAGATCGGAACTGCTTGAAAAATATCCCGCCCCCCACACCAGCCAAGCCTTTGCGAGGTCCAACGTTTCGGGGGAGGAATCCCGCCGTGGCTTCTTCCTGCGGGGAGAGAAGGCGAAGATGATGATGATGATGGGAGGAGGAGAGGGCGGATGGAGCTGGGAGCTGAACTGAGATCCCGGCGGAGCGGAGGAGAGCTCGACTTAAACACGGGAACCCGGCTTAAGCACGGGAGCTGTCTCGGAAATGCCACGGGGAGAAGAGAAAAATAAACTGAAATGGATTTGCACGTACGGACGAGGCAGCGGCAGCGCTTTTCCCCGTCGCCTTCTGTCATGTGTAGAGGGAAAAATAAAGCCGGACTTCAAGAACACTGCAAACTTCTTCGGAAACCGACGCAGAATCAGAACAGTTTCTGTAACGATGTGGTACAGGGGAAACGGAGGGTGATTGCTTTTGGGAAAAAAAATCCGAAAAGACAAAAAAAGTAGCTTTTTTTCTTCTTACTCAGAATCGTGATGGTGTTGGATTATTTCACTGGTGGGGTTTGATATAGCATGTTATCCTGTCTATCTTTTTAAGATTTCTGTAAGACTGTTGAACAGTTTAAAAAATAGTGTTAGGATAATATAAAAGCAGATAGATGGCGCTATGTTTGATTCCTACAAAAATATCACCAGCTTTTTTTCATTCTTAACTCTTTAAAGGATTCAAACGCAACTCAAATCTGTGCTGGACTTTTAAAAAATTCAGGACCAAATTTTTTCTCAGAGTATGTATGTGTTTGTTCCTTAGAGCTGTAAATGAAAAGACTGTTTTTTCTCACCGATGCTCCATCCTCGTGTTTTTTTTTTTTTTTTTCCTTGTAAATGTAATCGGATGCCATTTTATAAGTGGACGTATTTATACTGGCCAAACATTTTTTGACTTGTATTTCCTTGTCCTTTTTTGGTAGTTCTCGTTGTTACCCGCACCATTTTTATGTCTCCTTCACTGAAGGGCTAGAGTTTTAACTTTTAATTTTTTATATTTAAATGTAGACTTTTGACACTTTTAAGAAAAAAAAACAAAAAAAAACAAAAAAGAGAAGAGAGATGAAAACGTTTGATTATTTTCTCAGTGTATTTTTGTAAAAAATATATAAAGGGGGTGTAAATCGGTGTAAATCGCTGTTTGGATTTCCTGATTCTAACAACAGGGCCGCTGGTTAGTATCTCACACACGTGTGCGCTCACTCGCACTCACACTCACACAAATCAGCCCCTATTTTGTCCATGTTTACACTCCAATCTGCAGGCATCTTAAAGTGACAGCATCCCTCGGCCGGTGCCCTCTGTGCAGCCCCGGGCCGGGGTGGGGGTGGGAGGGCAAGGGAAAGGCGTGTATACACTGTATGCTACCGTTTTGGGGAGAAACGCAGCCCGAAATGAAGTAAAAGCGACTGGTGCATTTACATAGAAGGGATCCTGTACCTTTAACTTGTAAACCACATCTTTTGCACTTTTTTAATAAGCAAAAAAAAAAAAGAAAAAAAAAAGACGTGCCGTTTAAACCACTGGATCTATCTAAATGCCGGTTTGAGTTCGCGACACTATGTACTGCGTTTTTCATTCTTGTATTTGACTATTTAATCCTTTCTACTTGTCGCTAAATATAATTGTTTTAGTCTCTTATGGCATGATGATAGCATATGTATTCAGGTTTATAGCTGTTGTGTTTAAGATGAAGAAAGTGAAAACATCTTTGTACATTTAAGTCTGTATTATAATAAGCAAAAAGAAGATTGTGTGTTTATGTATGTTAATATAACATGACAGGCACTAGGACGTCTGCCTAATGAGGTGGTTCCGTTAAGGGTTTAACTTTTTTTTTTTTTTTTTTTGGTCATCCCTCCTGTGCAATATGCTGTTTTCTTTTTTTTTTTTTTTTGGTCTAACAATCACCCCACAACGCAACGTTGGGAAGAGAAGAAGAAATCATGCCAGCTAACCATGTCTCGAGTTCACTGCCTGTCAGATTGTTGATATACCTTCTGTAAATAACCTCTTTTTTCTTTTTTTTTTCTTTTTTTTTCTTCCTTTTTTTTTTTTCTCTTCGGGAAGGAAATAAAATCAGCTGGAACTGAACCCTAAAACCTGCCTCCTCTCGCCCTCATTGCCGCCCTCCGCGGCCGCGCTCCCACCGCGCAGCTTCTTCCCCGGAAAAGCCCTTTTGGGGCTGGGGGGGAGGGAAGGTCCCTGCGCGCTCCGGACGGAGGGTTTTTTTTTTCCTCTCTGTTTCTCCCTCGGCCTTTCGCATGGGAAAGGCCAGAGCCCGCGACGTGAGGGCGGCCCGGGCCTCCCCCCATGGAGCTCCCCGGCCTGGCGCGGAGCCGCCGCGGAGCCGCCCCCGCCGCGGCGGTACCTGCTGCTGTTTTACCCTTCCCCTCCTACCCAAGAATATGTAGTGCACCTTGAATAATGTTTTGGAAACTGATTAAAATATCCCACTGACATAATAGTTTCACTTAGCTGCTAATTCAGAGCTGGCCTTGAGCCATAGATTTTTTTTTTCCTTCTCCTTGTATAGGGCACAACAAGCAAAAAAGAAAAGTTGCAAGCGCTGCTTTGCAAAGCCTAAGCAGTTAATGTTTGCCCTGCATTATCCCAATGAATCCCTGCGTTGTATTTGGGATTCAAAACCTCTCATTCACGCATCTACAGGAGCCCTTGCGCTGAGGGTTTCCTGGTTAGGCCCTTTTCATGTAGCTCTTTGCATGGCAGGGCCATTTGCAAATCAAATAGGGGCCTCCAGCCACCCAGTTTCTCAGGGATTTGCTGCCCCTGGGACACCTTGGGAGAGTGGATGCAAAGGGGAGTGCTGCACAGCCAAGGGCAAGGCTGGCAAGTGTCCCCATTTGGAGAATTTGTGCTAAGCACTGCCAATAATTTATATATTTTCTCTGGGGGCTCAGCATAGACTGAAATTGGAGGAAAAATTAAAACGACACGGGTGGGGGGTGAGGAGATGGCGCTGGAGACACTTGCTAGTGACTCCCTTGGGAAGCAGGCTGGCCGTGAGCCTGTTCCGCCTGCACCGCTCCAGGCCTATTGTATCTCAGCGAGATTTACCGTTGACTGCAGTTGACTTGAGGGGTTTTATGGTTTCCTGCATGTGCTGTTTTTGTTCTCAGTTATACTAAAGGCCAGTATTGCCAAATGTATTGCTTCTCGGGGGACTCTGCTGACACACGTTGGTGCCTCTGCATAGCTAAGCAGATATATATGTATACACACACACTGCTACATACGTGCATGTGTATGTACATGCTTATGTTTCTACATACATTTGAAATATGCAGGTGTTCCTTGCTTTCTGCAATACAGAGCTGAGCAAGTCTCTGACTAGAGGAAGTACATCAGACTAAGCCCCCACAAGAATATATAACCAAATATACTTCTGGGTTTTGTATAGACCATTCTGTTAATTAGAAGGACACATGATTGATTTTTGGAAGAAAAAGTAGCAGCCAATTAATAAATGTGAAGCCTAGTAAATTTACAGTGGAGATTTTTAATGAGTATCTATGTAGATCACAATTCGGTTTTAGAAATCACTGCTGATGTCAGACTCTAGGTTTACCTCACGCGGGTTCCTGTCTTGGACATGGGCCAGAGTGGCAGATGCCTGTGCAAAGGTGAATTTCTACAACATCATGCAGCTTCTGAGCTGTGATCGCGATAGATGCAGCTTTCCTGCACTGCTACCCAGCCTTGGGCAACCCTGGCTACTAGTCTGGGCAGCTGGGGGCTGTAGGGGAACCTCGCTCCAGAGTAAAAGGCGGAATGAAATCACGCCTGTCCTGGGGAGCCTTTATCTGGCCTCTGGTAATCAGCATTTCCGAGACTTCACCAGCCAGGCCAGTGCGTTGTCACTGTCCAGGCCTATTGCTTTATTCTGTCCTTCTCAGGCCTCTCTGCTTGCTTGTGGTCACCACAACGTCTTGTGGTAAAGCTGAGCGCTTTCATTTGTGTGCTGAGTGAAAAACAGAATTTCTGTTTTCAATTTCAACCACTGTAGACGTAACTTAGTCTGCCCTTATACTGTGACAACCTTATCACCTCTCCATCTTTTGCTATACCATCCATTTTTATAGCCCTTTGCCATTTTTTCATCAGCTCTCCTCGTGGGGTTAAGAAAAGGGTTAGGGTTAAGGGAACAGGGTTAAGAAAAATAGTTCAACCAGAAGATCCAAGTTAAAAATCACCAAAATATCCTGTATATGTCTCAGTCTCTACAATTTCTTTTAACAGGCCATGCTTGTTCATAAATCATTAACTCACCTACACTGTATATGAACGTGGTTCACCTCAAGAATTGTATATAATTTCATATCGTGAGGCCTACCTGTCCTGTGTGTCATTCCATCGCCTTCTTTGTGAAGGAGCATGCGATGTGACTGTCCCTATAGTCCATACTGCATTTTCTCTCTTTTCCAAACCCAAAGTAGGTAATGCTGGGAGTTGGGTGCTACTGAGCATACTTGCAAGCGTCGTACTTTTGCGTTATGCTTTCAGCAGCTACAGCCTTACTGAGTCCTTACTCTTGGGACTTTATTGCTCACCACTGGGATGTGCATTTCCATGATATATGCCATACATATACAACCGTGTGACTGCAAAGCCTTCCCCTGGTCCTGCTCATTCTCTCTCCCTCCCTGACCATCTCTGTTCCTTCTTCCGTAATAAAGTAGATTAAAAAACAGGCCAGAGCTTGACTCACTTCTCAAACGCCATTTATTCTGTGCATTGGACCTTGTTTTTGAGCATGCATATTAGGGTTAATT